TGCCTTGTGATCTGCAGATGAAATAATTTTCTTTTTCTTTATCAAGCCTGTTTGTTTTATCACCATTTACTATCTCTATTCGAATGCTTTTAAATATTTGTGCTGTTGAATTTTATGACTAGATTTGCTTTCATCTGCAGAGCACAAGGCAGTATACTGTATAGAAAACAGAAAATTCGATTTCTAACGAAGAACACAAGACTAATATTGGAAAGTTTTGCAGCATACAGACTTTGCTTATAACTAATACTGCTGTGAGTTTCAGCGCTTTAATCCATTGGAATAGTGTGTTACAGTAAAAATATCCCAAACTCAAATTTCACTAAATCAGTCATAACTCGTGAAGGAAGTAGCACAGGCGCAGGCCATTTTAGCCTTTTTCTTACACTAATGTGTCGTATCGGTACAAAATATAAGCTCAAACGGAGATGGCCACCCGGAAAGGTTCTCTCGCTAGTATAGGTTTTCACAAAAAAACATTAGAAAATGGTTTGGTTTCTAGAAAGGTTTCGCAAAAACCTTCAGAAGTAAGAGAATATTTTTTATTGATTTAAGTGCAGAATCAGGATCGACAGATAAAGTAGGGTATTTTCTGAGATTCTGAAATAGGTTGAATGGATTTTGACTGAGGTAAGATTCTTTTTAATTGGTGATGAACATAATCAAAAATGGATTATTTCAACTAGTATAGGTTTTCACTGTGTTCTTGCATTTTGTTCTGAAACCAACATTGCCACGAGATTCAGCATAGTCGATAATGTGTGTTTTCATTCATTTCTGATAGTCTCAGGCCTAACGACAGAGGAGTAATAAGGCTTCGAAGAAAACGTCCATAGCTCCCAACCATGAATTACCAAAATGTCGCCTGGATCCATTTTTGTAGAGGACACTTTTTACTATATGTCTATGGAAAAAAATTGATAGATTTTGATGTCACTTTTCAGAGATCCAAACTGATTTTTCAAAGATCCACTATAAAACCGACTTCGAAAAACTTTTCAAAAATCGATTTTCATTGTCGGAATATAGCTTCACGTGTCTAGTTTCTAAAACTGAAAATCACAGGTCTCTGTCTTTATCTCTCTCTGAGTTATTCGAAAATTGGCAAACTGCTTTATATTCTGAGATGGATAGTAGTCAAGTTAATACCTTTCCTCAACAATATGTAGAAACTGCAAATATTTTATTAAGTTTTAGATTTTCCTTCTACTATGAGTCAAAAGAAAGTTGATTGGTATTTTAATGCAGGTCCAGATCCATGGAGTAAACCAATAGTACCACAATGGAAGCCATATTCACCCGCCGACTGTGAAAAGATAGAACAAGCATTCCAGAATAAGCAAGATACCGTAGATATTGGGAATTATACTATTCGTCTAGGCACGAACCCTGTACAAATAAGTAAAGTAGATGAAAAAAAACAAAGACAAGTCGCTCGTGGCGACCCAATAGTGAATGGTGGTAGTTAAGAAAAACAAAGAAAGACTATGTGTTGACTCTGATTTTCTAAAATGTATTTGAAGAATTTTGACTACACTACTCAACATCACCATGTTGAAAACAGAGAAAAACGATAACCAAACAGTAAATGATATCGTCATATAAAATAAATATAAAATTTTTACAGATCTGAGCATCAGGTAAACAAGATACCGATGAGTTTAAAAGATAAACGGATAAAGTTTAATTTCTGTATGAGCACAATATATGGGACATGATAGAAAGCCCTGAGTAGGTCAGAACTAACACCAATACTGATTTTATTATTAGAGGCAGTCTTAAATAATCCGTTCATGACATAAAGCAATGCGTCGATGGTCGAACCATTCGGTGTGAAGGTAAACTGATTAGCAGGCAGAAGTTAGTTAGTTAGGAAACGGGCTAGTAGCGCTTTGTTGGTGACTTTCTCAACAGCTTTACTCACATAGTTCAAGAGAAAAAGTTGGTCCGTAATTATGATGTTTCGGAAAATAACCTTAAATAATATCCTATCTACTTTACTTTATTTTATCAGATAACATATAATCGACATATAAAGTTTACATATCGTTAAACGTATGGAAAACAAATAGAAAGCAAAGTAATAACATCAGTAGTACATAAATAACATGACCTTAGAAGAATAGACAAGAACATGACTTATAGTACTGACCGAGAAATATGATGTATTTAGAACAGAAAGGAGCAAAGTAAATTGCTAAACATATGATCTCTTTGTGTTTTCATGACATAATACTTATCTACTATACCAACAAGTTCTTTGTTATGAATGGAAATAATTAAGGAAGTTTGTCGCTTCTAAGGAACATTTGAACTGAGAGGATTAATAAATGAGTTCAGATTCAACATGAGTTGTGCATTTTGGCAGCTTGAATCTCAAAGAGAAATTTAGACTAATTAATTTTAGAATCTTTCAGTTGATATCATGACAATGTTTTGAACTGTGCAAAAATGAAATAGTTTATACGCAAGACAACCCAAACGCTGTCTCAAAACATTCTATTTTATCGTAGTGCACCGGGTGTAGTATTATCACGGCATCTACAATAAAGACATTAGTTTGAAAACAGTGAAAAATGCATATATTCCCTTGACTGAAAGCAACAGTTGTACGATCAGAAATGTCCATCTGTTTGTCTGACGAGGGAAGTCCACCAACTTGAAAATCGTTTGCGGGCCAAAATCCAGTGGGTCACAGGTTATCGACGGTCCTGGATGCGAATATCACCATGAGATGGACCGCTAGGCCTCCAGAAACCTCAAAAAGTTCTCAAAACTTTTCTAAATAAATCATGATTGTAGCCGGCGAAATTAGGATTAAAATGACACATCTCCCAGCTATACAAGACCTTTCTTTGCAGGATGAGCCCTAAATTCCTTTTTCCATTTTCAGAAACCAGTCTCTGGAGGCCTAGCAGTTCGTCGCATGTTGATATTCGGATTCAGGACCGTCGATAACCTATGTCTCACTGGATTTTGGCCAGCCAACGATTTTCAAGCTGGTGGACTTCCTTATTTGTATTTGTATATGGAAAACCTTATTTTCTCATCTAGGAAGTGCGATGTAACCATGAAACTTTCACAGCAGAGGTAATCGGCTATGGAAAATCAGAAAATCACTGTGAGCCGATCCCTAGGACTGATTCTACTGATCGAAAACTGCCTTTCTGCTTGATTGGATGAGGGACCTAGTGAAAGTACTCATACGATGAGTACGACTTTACTCATAACTCTTCCATGAGAACTCATATTAGTACTACTAACAATTTCTGAGTATTGTTACTCAGTGAGTACCCAGTTACTCATGTGAGTACTCAGGAAATATTCATTCACCGTTTTATTTTGCTAAACTGAAACTGTATAAAGAATTAAGGGAAAACATGAAAGCGCAATTTCTCGAGATTCAAATAGTGTCAAATACACTTTGAGTCCCGGGCTGTTTAGTGAAAAAAACATTTTTATTCTATGTGCCGTGGTTAGTGAGAAAACACGTAATGAAACTTTCGTGTTGAAACATAGCTCCTTAGAAAGGCGCTTCGGTGACACTCATTGAAACAAATATTATGTTAAAAATCGTCCATAATCACTAGACCTGTCATTCTACGAATTTTTAATCTCTCTGAGTTATTCGAAAATTGCCAAACTGCTTTATATTCTGAAATGGATAGTAGTAAATGTATATGAGATATAATCATATTAAAACTTGATGCTTTCTAAGTAAAATGTAACCCCTAATTATATACCAGTTGACAGGGTGAATCGAGCAGTCGCAAAAATTAAAACTTTTACTTTAACCAGCTTAAGAAAGTGGTCAAAAATGAGCCACAATAGATATCATCATAGACGGCGGAGCCACTAAGCTGGGTAAGGCTCAAGCCTCAATTTGGCTCTCTTAGGCTCATCCTTACCCGGTTCAAAAGATGAATATCAGTTTTCCACTAGGGATTTTTCATTGATCACACATTTAGTGCGCGACTATACAGCCACACAATTCTTTTTCTCTTTTTCTATTCCCACATATACACTTTAGTTTTGCGGCTGAGTATTTTTTGTTTGACTCAGTAAATTTTTGAAAAGTGAGCCTTACCCCATATGTAAACGTTCCGCCGCCTCTGGGTATCATTGCAGCGAAAAAAATTTTCTACTTTACCCAAATATTTTGCTATCTGGCAAAACCCACTTTAGGAGGAAAAACTGTTCTATAATTGTGAGTTTTATTTCTTTTGAATAGTCTTCTATATTGAGTTGTATTTATTCTGATAAAGAGTCAGAAATGAATGTAAAAGTGAATAATACTGTTCTGTTCGCTAGTAAGAGATGTTCTGAGCAAGAACTAAACCATCTCTGATCATTAGAACTCTGCCAGCAGAACCTAGTGTTATTTTTTTGAAAGAAAATGCAAGAAGTTGTTCTCGTAGTTGGTGTTTCAAACACTTACCAAAAAAAATCTAGCAAAAGATGTGAGCGATTCATATATAGTAAATCACTGTGAATAATTACTATTCTAGACGAAAGTTCTTATTGCCTCACAAATTTCTTTACTTACTAATACTTTCAACGAACACTTTTTTCTTCTCCTTCAGTTATATCTTTTGTGAATGTTATCATTAAGTTATAAATAGAAGCAAAGAACAAGATTTTAATGTAAAATTTCACTTATTTACTTTTCGGTCACGTTTCACCTTTTTGTTGTTAAAAGCTTTCAGATGCATTGACTGTTCTTCTTTTCATGGCAAACACGTTTGTTGAATCTGCCGTTTTCAGTACGTATGCAACATTTCATGGAAATCAAACAGCCTTACTAAAGAACAGCAAAAAAGTTTTAATACGAGAGGAGGATGAAAAAAAGAAGAAAAATATTGACAGAGTTAGGATGAGTGCACCGAAGCGCTTGTAACATGGTAATATGTTTACTAATACTTTAAATATGATTCATGATGAGAATACAAAATATATTTAAAGGAATGTTTTAAGCAGTTGAATGGATTCATCCACATTATAAATGAAATGTGTTAAGTTTCGAAATAATGCTCAATGAAACGAGGAAAAACAACCACGTGCCGAGACGTTTCCATTTTTATTCCAAACTTTCATTCAAATTCCTAACATTGAATAAAAACAATCATTTACATACATATAAGTGTGCTTAGATGAGTGTGTATTCATATCAATGTTCAATAACTAATTTCAATAAAAGTACAGACGAGATTTGGATGGTATTTACCTAATACAGCCCAGGCCGTGAAAAATGAGATAAAAAATGAGCCATGAATAACTCATTTATGTACCATATATTGCTCATTTTTAAATCATATCTCTCCCATATTTATCTCATTTCTTGTATCATAATGTAGTCATAATTATGTCATTTTTTTATGGAATAAATATCATCTTATTATGGTCATCAAAATATGAGCCTATTATGATCCTGTTTAGGTCATTTTTGGCTCATTTTAAGACCATTT